CTTCCTTGTCCTCTTGTGGACAGGACTTACCAAGGGACTTCAGTGACAAAGTGAGCCTGCCAAGTCATAGCCAGCACCACCATGTCGATCAGTCCCTGTCCAGTGCCTGTGACACAGAAGTGGCTTCTCTCGTACCTTTACATTCACACTCTTACAGGAAAGAGCACCGGCCACGAGGAGTGCCACGGACTTCCAGTTCTGCTGTGGCTTTTCCTGATGCCTCTCTGAATGACTTTCCTCTCTACCAGCAGAGACGGGGATTAGACCCAGTCAGTGAGTTAGACTCTTCTAAGCCTCACTCTGGGTCTAGAGAGTCTTTAGTAGAGAAGTCCTGCCCACCTGCAGAATTTCAGCCTGCTGGTGACCTGAGGAAAAGTAATTCTCAGCCACCCACAAAGTGTGGGAAGAGCAGAGCGCTGAACGCTGACAAAAGTGTGGACAGCCTGAGGAGCCTGAGCACACGGAGTAGCGGGTCCACTGAGAGCTACTGCAGCGGGACTGACAGGGACACCAACAGTACTCTGAGTAGCTATAAAAGTGAGCAGACCAGCTCCACTCACATCGAGAGCATCGTGTCTGAGCACGAGGAGTCTCCCAAAGTGGGAAAGAGGAATGCCAGGAAGAAGGGCTGTGCTGACTCAGCAGAAGAGAGGCGCCACGGTGCCGGTGACCAAAGGACTAGCTGTGACAAGACTGCCCCCGAGGGGAGTGAATCTGGTGGGCCTCCTGAGGACCCAGGTGCTCAGGCATCCGGGGACGTACCTGACCAGGTTGCTCCTAGCAGCTCTGCATCAGAAGATGCCAATAAAAACCCCCATGCAAATGAGTTTACTGTCCCTGGGGACAGGCCATCTGAGCAGAGTGCAGAGAGCAAAGAGGAGCAGGGCGAGAAGCCCAGCATTTCCACAGACCCCAGAGTTTGTAGAGACAGTGGTGGGAAGCAGAAGGAAGGTGATGTCCGACCCAAATCCTCCAGTGTAATCCACCGGACAACCTCTGCGCACAAGCCAGGCAGAAGGCGCGCAGGAAAGAAACGGGCCAGCAGCTTCGACTCCAGTCGCCATCGGGACTACGTTTCCTTCCGAGGAGTCTCTGGCAGCAAGCCTCACAGTGCTGTGTTTTGTCCCGACGAGGACTCTAGTGATCAAAGTGATTTGAGCAGAGCACCAAGTGTGCATTCTGCTCACCAGTTCAGCAGCGATAGCTCTTCCAGCGCCACCTCTCATTCGTGCCAGTCTCCTGAGGGCAAATACAGTGCCCTCAAGACCAAACATGGCCATAAGGACCGGGGCACAGACTCGGACCACACACACAGAGCTCATGCAGGCCCTGAGGGAACCGCCAAAAAGAGGGCCACTCGAAGGACTTCCAGCACAAATAGTGCCAAGACGCGGGCTCGGGTGCTGAGCTTGGATAGTGGCACTGTGGCCTGTCTGAATGACACCAACAGGCTGCTGGCACCTGAAAGTATAAAGCCCTTAACCACTTCAAAGTCAGACCTTGAGGCCAAAGAGGGAGAGGTGCTAGATGAGCTGTCTTTGCTGGGCCGGGCTTCCCAGTTAGAGACAGTCACTCGGTCTAGGAATAGTCTGCCAAGCCAGGCTGCCTTTCCTGAAGGGGAAGAACAGGATGCAGCCCCTGGAGGTAAGTGAGCCACAGGAACTCAAGGGTCACTGCAGACTGTCACCGTGCTCGGAGTAGTCTAATAGAAGCTTCAGAAAGTGTCATTTCCCCGTGTTAGGAAGCGGCTTCTTTCAGTGGGAGTAGTCTCTGATGGTCCGACTGTCTGATTGGACACATGAGTTTATTCTTGATTGCCTCCCTTTTCTAAGCTAGTTTTGCCATTAATAACCCAATTAGTTCTCTCCTTTGTACAATAGCAACAGTTTTACAACTATATGAGAGTGACAAACCGCTATAGCCAAGTCTTCACAGTGTGCTGCTGAACTCCCAGAGGCAGCCACTCAATCCGTCACAGAAGATTGATTCTCCAAACACTACTGTGGCACTGGGGTCGTTCTGTTTATCTGCTTTTCTCAATTCAAGTTTTAGATACTAAGAAAATGATATTTTCCCCATGATTTCTCACTGTACTTAAGGTGAATTAAGTTGAAGTTTATAATTTATATTAATTAGCATTCTATTTTTTTATGTGCTTATTTATATTTTGATTTTTGAGACGGGATCTCAGTGTGTAACCCTGGCTGGCCTAGAATGCACTATGTAGATCAGGCTGGCCTCAAACTGTTCTGTTAGCCTTTGCCTCCTGAGTGCTGGGATTAAAGGCATACATCATCACTTCCTGCTGTATTAGCATTTTAATCTGTTAATTGATGCATGGTATTCCCTATGATGGTGATGGTGTTTGGGTAAAGTAATAACTTACTAATTTCAGGTTTTGGGGGAGTTGTACAAAGTTGGATAGGTGATATTGTTTAGTGTGTGTTGACCTGTTTTTCAGAGGTGGTGTTCTTCACTGTTTTCCTCCTACCTCAGACTGTTGACTGTTCTGCTGATTATGAAGTCTTTCTGGGTACAGTGAGAATGAGGCCTTCTGCTGTCAGCACACATGAGTCTTGGAGGGTCACAGTCATTTGCTATAATAGTGCTGATTCTCTCCTTAACAGTCAAAGTTGATGCTCTGTTCATACAGGCATTTCAAACGTGTCTACACTTACCTTAAAAGAATTTCAGGTTCATCTGGAGTATTTTAAAGATCATACTATAAAGATGTTCTTGCTTGTATTTATTTTTTTCTATTTCTAGAAAGCTTCTAACAAAAGTTAACTTATAATGGGATTGTAAAGAAATTATTTTTAGTGCTGAAGGAGTTCTCAAAGTAGTCTTCTAAGCTGTATATTAGAGGTGATTGTATCTGAAGTGGTTCTTACCACTTGGTTGCTGCATGAATGTCTTACAGTTTTGACCTGGATGTCATTCTATATATAGAGACTTCTCAGAGAAACGTTCTCATGTGTGTCTGTTCTTGATGTCAGTGACTCCATTGGGTTTTAAAAAAATAGCTTCTTTTAAGTTATCAAAATAAAATTTGAGAGTGAACATGTTATAGTATGTTCTAAATATTGCTAAAATAAATGGTATTGCCAGAATATAAATGTTACTAGCATATGTACAAGATGTGCTATGGAAAGTCTCTGTCTTTGCATACTTACCGTCGTTTCCTTTCCATAGTGAATGTTGATTTTCCTTTTTTGTTTTGTTTGGTGGTTTTACAAAATTACGTGGAAAGTGTTATTACCTTCTTCATGCAGTTCTGTGACCATGTAAGTCTTCATATTTCTAGATTCCAGATTTGTTTGTTTGTATCTTTAAAATCTCCACTAAATGTTAATAATAAAGCAATGAACTAAATTTTTAAGATCTCAACTTTGGTTGAAGAAATTCACTAGTATGCGGGAGGTTGAAGATTTTTTTTGTCAAATAAGGGTACTGCTAGGGTGTTTATTTTGTTTGTTTTTATTGTGCTTAGAATGAAAAACAAAACAAAATGATTTAAATGTGTTAGAGATTTCTGTATCCATTACACCTAAATACAAGGGTTTGCTGTGTTTTAGTTGAACTTCCAGAAAACTTGGAAGTAGCAGGAAGGAATTTAAATGTTCCCATTTAAAATTGACATAATTTCAGTTTGTGTCGATATGAGCGTCATTCGTTACAGTCTTGTCTGGTGATTTAGGAGTGATGTGTCTGGGTTGTACTCCAAAATCATGACGAAACATGATGGCACACATTGTTCTCTCTCTGTGTCTGTCTCTCTCTGTCTCTCTGTGTCTCTCCTGGACATAAAACTGTAAGTGAATTTTAATCTGGGTAGATCTGGAGGTATTGCTGCCTTCTCCAGATACTTTATTATTGGGGTGAATGGTGTTAGGGTGGAGGCTTGGAGTTTGGGAAATACTTGAAAGTGTTACAATAAAGCCCTGAAATAGAGGTGATGTAGCCTAGGTTCACATGTGTGTTAGTGTTTGGGCTCCACTGTAATTGGTACCCTCAGAGACCTGTTTATCTTCATGAGGCCTCCACATTGTCATCTGTGGATGAGGTGAAAACATTACCTGTTGCATAGCGAAAAATGAAGGGAGTTCATCTGTAAGATGCTTAGAAAGTGCCCAGCATGTCGTAAATGTTTAAGAGCTACTGTTATTGGGAAGCAGACTAGTGCTGTGCTACAGAAATGTGTCCTGTCCTGTTCTGTTCTGTTGGTTCAGAGGTAAATACAAGGAAGTAATTACATATTGAAACAAATTGGAGTTGTTCTACTTGTGTAAAACTATATAATAGTGAAAATACAAATGATATTCCCAATTTCACACTTAACAGGAAACATTTTTAGTAGCTAATCTCTTTTGGCAGTGACACGCCATAACTTCCTGCATGGTATGTAGTCCTGTCACAGTGCTTTGCGTGTGTTCATGGCCCTGTGTGTGCCAGACAGGCACTCTGCAGTGGAGCTGTGCCACCAGCAAGCTCCCCTGTCTGGTTTAGGATCTCTTAGCCTTCATCAGGTCTTCTGCTCAAAGTCACATTTTACTAATAATTGTCTGCAGTTGTGTAGGTGAAACTTTTTGAGTTCAGTTTGTTTTTTCATTGACCTCTTGCTTTGTACTTAATTTTTCTTATAAGGCATATCTCTAATTTATGACTAATACTTTGAATAAAACACACACACACACATAATAGAAAAATGTCTTGTTTTTGACTTGTCCTATATCAGATAAAAATGGTCTTGGGCCCCTAAATTTATCTCCTATATGATACAATAGTATGCTTATAATATGTTTTCTATATCGGTTGTCAGGTTATAAAGAATAGCTGAAGTCGAGGGGTTTGTGTGTATTTTAAGGTTTATGCAGTATTCTGCATTTCTGTGTTTTTTTGTTGTTTTTTTTGTCATGGGAAAAATGTTTATTTTGAAATTATTTTAGTTTAGAAATACAAAACCTCTTGGGGAGGGAAGAAGGAAAGGAAAACACAAAGTATACAGGCAACTTTTTACTTCATAAGCTTCTCACAACCTCGTTTGCTCCTAGTTCCCGCGAAGAGAAAGCATTCAGCCACCCACAATAATGTTATTAATAGGGATATGGATCAGTTTCACAAAGAAGCCAATGAATCCCATGATAGCAAATCCTATGGCTGTGGCCATGGCAATCTTCTGGAATTCTTTTCTGTCGGGTTTGGTGCATCTTTTAACCAGCCGAATTGAGTCCTTTACAAACTGCTGACTTGGCTCAACAAACTGTATTACCTGATCCATGACTGATTGTGGGACGGCGACTTGAGGAGGCAAAGACACGTAGCTTAGGAGAGGACTGAGCCCAACGGAACCCTGTTGTTTTGTTTTTAAGACAGGGTTTCTCTGTGTAGACTTGGCTGTCCTAGAACTTGCTTTGTAGACCAGGCTGGCCTTGAACTCACAGAGCTCCCCCTGCCTCTGCCTCCTGAGTACTGGGATTAAAGGTGTGTGGAACCACTATCTGGTGATTTATTTATGTTATTATTTTATGTAACTGAGTGGTTTACTGTGTATGTGCACAAGGTAGGTACAGAGGTCAGAAGAGGATCCTTGGAACTGGTGTTACAGATCGAACCATCCCGTGGGTGCTGGGAATTGAACCGTGGTTCTCTGCAAGTGCTCTCAGCTACTGAGCTGTCTCCTGTTCCTACTGAATTCCTTAACCTGTATCTCTCTGAGAAAAGTATCTTAAAAGAATTTCTTACTGTCATGTATTTTATGTGTGTGAATGATTTGATGACACATATGTTTGAGTAACTAGTGTATACTTGTTACCCTCAGAGGTCAGAAGACCCTAGGTCTCCTGGAACTGTAGTTATAAATGGTTGTGAGCCTCTGCACATGTGGGTGCTAGCTCTTGGCCTGGGATCTAAACCACTGAGCCATCTCTCCAGCCCCTGAGAAAATTGTTTTAGATACATTGTTTGAGCCACTGTTCTGTGGGCTACATCCCTTGTCCCTGAAGTCAGTGTTCATATATACACAGTTCTCAAATTCAGTTCAGTGCCAGATTTGCCAGGGAGGAACAAACAGTATTCTCTCTCTAAGAGCAGTGGGATTCTACATGAGCAATCCAGTGAGTCCATAACCCACGAACTGCATGAGTAGAATAGTTGATAGAAAACCTCTTTACTTATTTATACTCAGAACTCTCCAGCTTTGAAGATTTAGAGGGGGTAGCTTTTGGTTCTACTGCTCCAGAATCTTCTATTTAGTGTACATAGCCTTGGATGCTTTTCTTGTTGTCATCCACAAAGCCAGCTGATAGTGTTTTAGGGCATCCGTATAAACAGAAATTGCTGTACCAAACAGTTCCATATCAAATGTGTAGAGTTTCTATAACTTTCTGAAGTAAATTTAAAATAACCCTAAGGTTTGATTTTGCATTTCTTTTTAATGGTCAGGAATACACTATCCCATAGGTCTTCAAATGTCCAGGATATTTGCCTGTTTTCCATGTTATGCATTCAAGCATAACCCTGATGGAGAGACTGCATTAATATAAAGGAAATAAAGCCCAGAACTGAAGCATTTTTTTGGGATCCTTGTGCTCTTGAGGTCAGACAGGAGAAATGGGAGTTTGAGGTTAGCCTGGGCTGCCTGAGATGTGTCTCAGAGAGGGAGGGAGGCAGAGAGAACACAAAACTGAATAAAAGCTGAATTTTCTGAGATTATTGTAAATTGTGTCTTTTGAAGACATTTTAATGCAAATAAGGAAATTATTAGAAAGTCAAGACTTGTTATAAAAGCATACTTAAAATATATCCTTAATTTTTGTACTTCATATATTCGTAAGTTTTGAATCACTGGACTGCTTCTGAGTTTTTCTTATACATACAAATTAGTTCTGCTTAGAGTGCTTAGTTTTTCACTGTTTACATTTGATAGACAGGTTTGAACAGTTAGCTTGTTCACTTGCTAGAAAATCCTGAGTTTTATGTAAGGTTAAAGAGCTAACTTTAAAAGATTTTGTAGCATTTTTTTCTCCCTTCTGGTGTCCTATTTAAAAAAAAAAAAAAAGAAGAGGAGGAGGAGGAGGAGAAGGAAGAGAGTTTCTTCCAAGGCTTAGGATTTGATTCTTCAGAGGCCTCTTCAGTTATTTTTTTAAATGTTCTTTCTCTTGTAAACTTGAATGATTCGTAAAGGCTGGAAGATGACTTATTAGGTAAAGGGCTTCCTGTGCAGACACAAGGTTCAGGTCCTTAGTGCATCTATGGGCGTCTCCACAAATGAGCACATTCCAACACAAACATATGCATATATACATAATTAAAAGACAGTTAAGGAAATACGTAATTTATATAACTATTTTGTAGATTAAAATATGAATGTGTAAAATTATTTAAAGCTTTTCTTTTAAGAAGAAGCCAAAGAGATTTTTGTTGTTACTGTCTTATGTACATGAGTGTTTTATCTGCATATGTGTTACGAGTGTGCCAGGTGTTTGCAGAGTGCAGAAGAAGATATCAGATCCCTGGAACTGTAGACATGGTTATGAGTCACTATGTGGGTTCTGGGACTCAAACCTAGGTCCTCTGAAAGAGTAACCAGTGTTCTTAACCACTGAACCATTTCTCCAACCCACCAACAGAGTTTTCTTTTCTTTTTTTTTTTTAACTAAAAATGGACACTGGCAAATTTTCTTTCTTTTCTTTCTTTCCTTTGTTGTTTAGATGGTTTTTTAATTTTGTTCTTGCCCTTCTTAGAGACTTAGCTTTCCTGTAAGAGTAATACCTCCAAGAGTCTCCAGTAGAAACAGATTAATAAAGAAGAGCATTTCCCTTTTCCTGTCTTCTGTGGTTAGTGATCATATGCTGCTTTCCGAGAGTCAGCTCATAAGTTAGGTCTGGGTTCAATTTTCTGTTCATTTGCAACAGAATAGAGAATGAAGATTCTATAATGAAGTTGATTCAACCAGTAAAATTGATTATAGTAGTTTGTTGTTGAGTAATGGTTTGTAAAAAAATGGGATATAGTTTATTTCAGCTTTAGAATAAAATTTTCAGTAATGTGGTCCACAAGGTGGCTCTTGAATTGAATTACCAGCTAGTAATTGTATCTGTAACGTGACCTCTCTGTGCAGGTGTCTCAGAGCTGTGACAGGTGTAACCTACTTACCTCATTGTCCTGTCTTCCCTCACCTGGTGTGTTCCTCCTCGGGTCTCTGCTCTGCCGGTGTGTGTTTCTCTGCCGATGCAGAGCGCATTTCCGTTCATCAAGGTTGTGGTTCTCAGTGGTCGAAACCTGCTTTACAGTTTATGCCAGCGAAACAGCAGCCTCGTCTGCATCTGCTTTCTACGATGGGCAGGTTCCATGTCCGAGTTGTCTAGCAGTGATCAACATGCTCCGTGTTACTACTGAGTGTTGAGGTGTGGGTCAGGAGGACTAGCCGAAGTTATAGTTTCCACTAACAGAAATGTGAGTAGCTACTGCTGGCTGGTTAGTGGCCTCTGTGTTAGACAGCCAGGCCTAGATGACCACTGCTGGCTGGTTAGTGGCCTCTGTGTTAGACAGCCAGGCCTAGATGACCACTGCTGGCTGGTTAGTGGCCACTGTGTTAGACAGCCAGGCCTAGACAAGCAGGTTCAGTCAGCTTCATGGTTTTCTGCGGACATGTCTGACTTTCACAGACAAACAACGACCTTTCACATTTAAAGGCCCTTTCATGTTTGGAAAAATGTTTCTGTATGAGCTTCTTTATTCTTTGCTCATATGTTAACATCAAAATATCCTTCCTCAGAATCCAAAGAATCCCAGAAGACTTAGAGTCCTGGGGAAAGAGCAGTTGTTTCATGTTCACCTGTGAAATCATTTTACATTTTACACTGATTAGATTGGTCAGTTGGTGTGGTTTTATCACTGTGTATAATTTCTCATGGTTCTGTTGCAGTTTTATTGTTGTCTGCTTGGTTTAGCTTGATTCCAGCCTAAGCGATCTTCTGTGCTTGGTTTTTATTTATATCTGCTTCCTAATGCTGAAGAGACTAGGACAAGGGCCCTAAAGTTTTCAAATAAAGTTTTGCCACAGCACTTTCTGGTTAAGATATGTTTGTTACCTTGAACGTTTTCTGCCAGCTGTCAGTCAGTTTCAGAATTATAGCCTGGGGTCCCGGGGGATGCAGCTCACTACCCTACTCCCTGGCATCCACAGTGAGTAGTCTGAAGTTGGGTGGTTCGAAGCTTTCCACCTTAATGGCGATGCAAAGGTGTCACCATTTGGTAGAAATCATGCTTTGGATTTTGCTCTTCTCCTGGGTGAGTGATAGGCAGTTGACTACTGCCTCAGTGTTGGGCAGTGGTAGCAGCCCAAGTCAACGCTCCCAGTCAGGAATGTACCCTGCTGAATTGAGTGTCTGTGTATCAAGTGCACTTTTGACCCCTGGTGCTTTAAGTTAATGATGGTTGATCAGACTGCAGCCCCATCCAAAGGGAGGGAGCATCTGTGTGCTTGCACTGCTTTTACTAGTCCCACGAGAAGAGAAACGAGCACTCGTTCCCATTAGGGACACTCACAGCTTTTTTAAAGGGGAAAAGTAGGGAGAAGTGCCGAAAATAACGAGGCTTTCGGAAAAACATTTAAAGTGGCAGAGATCCTAAAATAGAAAGTTAAGGATGAAGAGAAAGTGTTGAGGTCAGATAATAGATCCAAAATGCTATTTTCCAAAAAACTAACTTTGGAGAAAGGGTACATACTTTGTATATATTCCCTAATGTGACAGGAGACCCAAGTGTTCCTTCTCCCAAGAGGGTGGGAAGTCCAGAGAGAGACAGGCTCAGCTGACCTAGGCTCATGTTTGACCTAAGTCTGTCTTAATGCAGCAGCACAGGCCAGCGAGGAGGCAGTGGCCTTTCGCCGTGAACGCAGCACATTTAGGCGCCAAGCAGTACGGCGCCGGCACAATGCAGGGAGTAACCCTACCCCTCCTACCTTGCTCATCGGATCACCCCTAAGGTACGGTATTTTACAATTCCACCAAGTTTGGCATGCATGCAGTGAACCTTCTAACCTGTTCTTTCCGACCCAGGCAAGCTTTTGAAGAACCCTGCTTTTCTTTCTTTCTCTGCTCTCCATCTTCAGCTCCTAGGTTTCTTCTGCATGTGACCCTGAGCTTACTGCATTTTGCATGCCCCTTATGTTGTACTGTTTAAACAAAGCCAGCAGACTGAGTTTGTCCAGTTTTTAAATTGCAAGAGCACGTTAGCAGTTATAGAAGTGAAAGCCTAGCCATTAAGTTAGATTTATTGTTTTACCTACTCTAAATTATTAGTGCAATATCTGACAGTGTTTAATAGGGACAATTACAGGAAGAGTGGTGACCTC